ACGAAGACGCACGGCCAAACCGCACCGTCCGAACGCCACCGACTGCGACGCGGCCGAAGCGACCGAACCGCGAACACCCTTGTGACTTGTGCTCTCAAAATCGCGGATTCACCGAGGACTCGACAATCGGCCAAAGACTTCTGGGCATGGTCTGCCTTCGTCGTTGTCCCCCCTGGTAAAACCCTACCCCGAAATCTCCCTCCCCGAAGTCTCGAGGAGCCTGCGTTCTGTCCTGGCCCTCGCGCTTTCGGGATCGGGCATCTGTTCTGAGCTGGTGCCTGAGGGCGTCCTTTCTACCTCCGCTGGCCGCCGCCGAACCTCCGCCGAGCTTCCGCAGGCGGAGCCCCGCCCCCTTTGAGATGGGGCCTCCAAGATGGCCCCAAGACGCCCTCCAGGGCTCTCAAATCACCCCCAGGAAGGCTCCAAAAGGGCCCCGAGAGGGCCCCAAGACCCGCCAAGTGAGCCCCAAGAGGACCCCAAGATGCCCCAGAAGAGTCCCAAGAGAACCACCGCCTGCCACCGCGGGCTCCCCGCCCCATCGCCAAGGGCGAGGGCCCCCCCCCGCCCCCCAGAAGAGACCGTTCCACTACTCGCACAGTGACTACTCGCGGGCGGCCTGGATTCGCCGCGGGGGATTCACGATCCATTACAATATGAGAAGACATGCTTTTTTGTCGGACGATTGCGAGTACAGTAAGAGCCCGACCACAAGAAACCTTCACAAGAAACCCAACCCTGAGACCCCAGGGCGTCCATCAATTTTTGGCGTGGGAACGCCACGTCTCCCATGGCAAAACCATCGAAACCCAAGAAACCCATGGCACCCTGGAGGCAAGCAGGGTGCTTCTTGGCATGGGCCTCCACTGTAGGCACCCTGCGAGCAGCGGCACGCGCTCGGTGGCACCCCCCCTGGCTCGCGGAGCGCCTGCAGAGGCGGTGGCACTGGAGAGGCGCCGCCGGGAAAGCCCCACCAGCGCCGACCCCCGGAGACCCCCGCGGACCTCCAAGGGGTAGGTCGGGCATGCCCCCCTACAGGCGGAGCTTTGGAAAAAAATGAATATGCAGTCAGAAGATATTCCAACATAGTCCAAGGATATTCAGAAGATAGTCCGAAGAAAAGTATAATATAGTGAGAAGACATTCAGAAAGAGTCGAAGGCGCACGAGACATCTTCCCTAAACCATTTTTTGACATTCTCGGATCTTCCGCCTGTGGGGGAACACGCCCGACTTGACCCAAGAAGTTGTGCTCATGCTGCTCTTCTTCTCGGCGGCGAGCGAGGGAGGAAAAGAGAAGGAGAAGGCCTTCTCAGAAGGCGGAGGGACTTCTCATAAGCCCTCGCGCCTTCTGAGATGTTTGTTCTGTCTTCGGGGAAGGCTGAGAAAACTTCTCAAAGGCCAGGGGATTTTCGAGCCTTCTGAGAAGGCCTTCTCCTTCTCACTTCACCCCCTCGCTTGCCGCCGATCTGATTAGTCTTAGTATTCGTGTTAGTCTTCTTCTTATTTACTATTATTAGCATTAGGGTTGCTATTATGATTAGTGCTCCTCCTCTCGATAGTACTTATACTAGCCGGCCGCTCTGCGGTTGATCGGGAGTTTCTGTATATAGAAGAAGGTGCGTGCGCTTGTTGGCGAGGGTGAGGATGAGGTTCCTCCTCCTCCTCCTCCTCCTCCTCCTCCTCCTCCTCCTCCTCCACCATCCTTCTCTTGCCTCCGTCTGTCCTCCTCCACCCCGCAGCTCCATCATCTTCTCCTCCTCCTCCTCCTCCTCCTCCTCCTCCTCCTCCTCCTCCTCCTCCTCCTCATTCCTCCTCTGGGCACCTCCCCCGGGGCGCGGATCCACCGGATCTGTCCGGATCTGTCCGGAAACGGTGCCGGAGGCCGCTCTGGGCTCCTCTGGGCACCTCCCCCGGGGCCGGTTTTGTGAGGATGTCTCAAGCGAGGGCGCCGGTTTGGGATTCGTCCCCGGATCCAGCGGATCCGTCCGGATCCGTCCGGAAACGGTGCCGGAGGCCGCTCTGGGCTCCTGTGGGCACCTCCCCCGGGGCCGGTTTTGCGGGGATGTCTCAGGCGAGGGCGCCGGTTTGGGATTCGCCCCCGGATCCAGCGGATCCGTCCGGATCCGTCCGGAAACGGTGCCGGAAGCCGCTCTGGGCTTCTCTGGCCACCTCCCCCGGGGCCGGATTTGCGGGGATGTCTCAGGCGAGGGCGCCGGTTTGGGATTCGTCCCCGGATCCAGCGGATCCGTCCGGATCCGTCCGGAAACGGTGCCGAGGCCGCTCTGGGCTCCTGTGGGCACCTCCCCCGGGGCCGGTTTTGCGGGGATGTCTCAGGCGAGGGCGCCGGTTTGGGATTCGTCCCCGGATCCAGCGGATCCGTCCGGATCCGTCCGGAAACGGTGCCGGAGGCCGCTCTGGGCTCCTCTGGGCACCTCCCCCGGGGCCGGTTTTCCGGGGATGTCTGAGGCGAGGGCGCCGGTTTGGGATTCGTCCCCGGATCCAGCGGATCCGTCCGGATCCGTCCGGAAACGGTGCCGGAGGCCGCTCTGGGCTTCTCTGGGCACCTCCCCCGGGGCCGGTTTTGCGGGGATGTCTCAGGCGAGGGCGCCGGTTTGGGATTCGTCCCCGGATCCAGCGGATCCGTCCGGATCCGTCCGGAAACGGTGCCAGAGGCCGCTCTGGGCTCCTCTGGGCACCTCCCCCGGGGCCGGTTTTGCGGGGATGTCTCAGGCGAGGGCGCCGGTTTGGGATTCGTCCCCGGATCCAGCGGATCCGTCCGGATCCGTCCGGAAACGGTGCCGGAGGCCGCTCTGGACTCGTGCTCTTCGCGCCGGGGGTGAGGATGACGTGAGTTCCACAGAAACTCCCTCAAATTACTCTTGGTCTTCACAGTATTATTGTTCTTGTGATTCGTAGCTTTAGGATTCGTCCTCTTCTTCTTTCTATTCTTCTTCTTCGAGGACTGTTGCAGTGCTCAAAGGAAGGGAGCTTCGTGTGCACATACCACGTGCACCAGCCCTGGCCAGGCCCGTCCCGGGGCCAGGGGTGCGTGCACACCCGCGCTCCTGGCGTGGCCGGGGAGCCCTCTGCGCCGCTCCTGGGCTCGGGATGGGCCCGGCCAGGATCGGCCCGCGGTGCACGGCTCTCTCTCTCTGCGCCCGCGGTGCGCGGCAGGGAGAGACAGGGGGGCCGGGGTTTTGCCGCCCCAGGGTGGGGCAGGGGCGCGGCGCTTCAATCACCGCGGTGGTTTCTTAGGGTGGGTGCCAGGGTGGCCTAGAAAATCGCCCTACGTAGCTTATCAGTGATCTGGAAGTGCCCCACATGGCTTGGGGGGTGAAGGATCCGGGCTGAGTGGGCTCGGCCCACTTGGCGGAGTGAGCGGGCCCACCCAAGCCACTGAGGGCACCTGTAACCCACTTATGAGCTAGGGTAGGCCAGCTATAACCCACCTTCGCATCCGTGGAAAACCCCCCTATCCCATTAGCAAACCGGCGGTCATGCAAATGCAGCTCTCGTTCTGGCGATGGATAGGGGATTTAGGGGTCGATGCAGGCCCCCCCGAGCCCATCCCCGTCTCCCCTGGTTTTCGGACCATAGTTCGGACCGCTGGCGTCCGTTCGGGACGATCCTGGCACCCCCAGAACGCACTCGGCGAGGCACAGCTGCTGGAAGGCATCCCCAGGCTGGAAGGCCGCCGAATACCAACGAAAACGCCCGACAGCATCGAACCTCAAACCTCGGACCTCGCTGGATCACGCCAGATATGACGCATCTTGGAATCCTACAGGCGGATTTTCGATGATAAAAAAGGCAAAAAAAAAGAAATGATTCAGGAATGATCAGAAATAGTCGAAAAATGGTCCCCAAACGATTTTTCCCTACCTAGACTCTGCCTAGAGGGTTCTTACCGTGTGTGCTTAAGGGGCCGGGCAATGGACCCCGCCCCGGGCGGTTCCCCCAGCATCCGCCCCGCGGTTCCCCCAGTGACGTCCCCTTAGCTTAGCGTTGCTCATCTCATCTTAGCTTAGCTTAATTCATCTTAGTTTAGCTCAGTTTCATACTAGCTCAGGTGTATATTAGCTTAGCTTACCTGTATCTTAACTTTGCCGAGCTTTAGCATAGCAGAGCACAGCATAGCATAGCGTAGCATAGCGCAGCACAGCATATCATAGCATAGCCCAGCATAGCATAGCATAGCGCAGCATAGCATAGCATAGCATAGCATAGCATAGCATAGCGCAGCACAGCACAGCACAGCATAGCACAGCGCAGCATAGCATAGCATAGCATAGCAGAGCATAGCAGCAAAGCAAAGACAAAGCAACAGCAGCGACAGCAAAGCAGAGCATAAGCAACGCAAAGCACAGCAACGCATTAGCATGGGTGTAATTCCCTGCCTAGGCTCTGCCTAGAGAGTTAGCTTAGCTTAGCTTGGCTTAGCTTAGCCTAGCTTAGCTTAGCATAGCGCAGCGCTGCATTAGCATAGCATCGCATATCATAACATAGCCAAGCATAACATAGCATAGCATAGCGCAGCATAGCATAGCATAGCATAGCATAGCATAGCATGGCATAGCATATCATAGCATAGCGCAGCTTAGCATAGCATACCATAGCAGATCATAGCTTAGCATAGCACAGCGCAGCATGACACAGCATAGCTTAACATAGCATATAATAGCATAGCATAGCATAACATAGTGCAGCATAGCATAGCATAGCATATCATAGCATTAGCATAGCGTAGCGCAGCATAGCATGGCATGGCATGGCATGGCATAGCATAGCATAGCATAACAACTAATGCTGCTTTCCTAAGGGTTCCAACTTCTAGGCAGGGTCGCACTAGGGTAATTGCATTATTTTTTGAACGTTCCTCCTGTGGGAGGAGGAGGAGGAGGAGGAGGAGGAGGCGGAGGAGGAGAAGGAGAAGGAGAGGGACACGCCCGACGTGAATATGGCAGCCCCCCGCGGCGATCCGAAAGCAGGATGGGGGCCCGCCTTCTGCCGCCAGCGGTGCTCCCGCTTCACCGCCTCCTCGAGCTCTAAGTGCAGCCGCTCCACCAGGTCCCGGAGCACCCGATTCTCGCGGACCATCTCCTCCGATTAAGAGATCAACGCACACTCAAACCGACAGGGACCCAGACATGATCGAGTCGTAAAAAACCAAGACGGGAGGTTTTTGACTGTTTTCGGCATCCAGGGGCCCTCACCAAGCCTCGTGACCGTCAAAAAATGACTCGGGATGAGAAACCGGTCCCGGGGAATTGGTTCGGATCTCTGGGGGTCGCGTCATGGAAAAATCAGGACGTCAGGGGTACGGGGAGCATGGAGGAAGAAAAAACGCCATAAACACAAACTGTCGGCGCTCCGCGCGGAGCTCTTGGATCTGCGCTGGACCCCTCCCAGGCGCGCGGAGCGCGCCAGGGGCGGCGCCGGAGGCTCCGCCGCCGGGGGGCCGCAGCGCGGATCCAAGAACTCCACGTAGCACCAAAAGTGCGCCGATCCAAGAGATCCGCGCGGAGCGCCAAAATTTTATGCTTATGGCGTGTCTTCCTCTCCGCAATAGGGAGGAGGAACGGGAAAGGGCAAGGAGGTGCAAGCGCCGTTAGGTGTGGGTGCGGGCGGCGGGACCCTGGGGCTCCCGTTCGAGCAGGGGCTCCCATCCGACAACACACGCCACCCCGAGAGGAGTCAGGGGGTCGCACAGGTGAGGGAGAGCCCATAATCGAACCGAGAAGTCGGACCGGCAATCGAAGCAAATGGGATCGGAAGAAATCGGCAGCCGAGTCGGGAAAGGTCGAATCGGGGGAAATCGGCAGGCTAGCAGGCCTCCAATAAGGAATCGGAATCCGAAGTCGAATCGAATCGGAATCGGAAGCCATCGAAATCAGGTCGAATCGGAGGAATCGAAATGAGCCCTGCAGGTGTGGGCGTTCGTTGCCAGCTCGCGGTCCTTGGCCGCCAGGCGGTCCTCGGCCCGCGTGGTGGGCTCGCTCGAATGCGGTCCGTCGTGCGAGCTGTCCACGCCCGGGTGCTCGGGCCCCCAGTCGGGGACGCCCTCCATCGCCATGCCTAGGGGAAGAATGAGCATCGTTTAACCGACCCCTATCCCCGTGGGAGTGGCCTGGGCCCCAGTGGCCGATTCACCCCCTAGATGGGGATATGGGCCGTTCCCTTCGGATTTCGAGGGTTGCATCCCCAACCAGGGGGGGTGAGATGGTGGGGGTCTGGATGGGGACGGGGATGAGGACAGGGGTCGGTTGAACGATACCGAAAGGAAAGCAGCACCAATAGGCAAGCGCGCTCCACGACTCGCAAAGTCACGATTCTCGCAAGCGGCCACGAGCCGCCGCGGGGGATCGAAGATATATATATATATATATATACACACACATTCATATACATCTATATACATATATATATATATATAGATATATAAATATACATATATGTGTATATATATGTGTGTATATATATGCGTGTGTAGATATACACATACATACATATCTATATATATATATATATGTATATATGTGTGTGTATGTATTACATCGAGGCGAACACACGTCATTCGAGCACCTGCGAGTAGGCACCCTGCGAGCGGCGTGGAGCGCGCTCGGCGAACCGACAGCACCAGCACCCACCGCAGGAGCTCCGCGCGGGCTCCCTGGAGCGGCCCCCCCCCGCCCCTTTCGCCGCAGAGCGCGCCGGGTGCGGGGGCCCGAGGCTAAAACAGGGCTAGGATCGGGATAAATCGCTCCATTGGGGCCCCCCAAACGGTGTGGTGACCACACCGTGCGGTGAGTCGGTGGCGATTCGGGGTCACCGCACGGTTTTGGGACTCGGGTCGTTCTCCGAGGACGTCTCGGGCGACTGGGGCCTCCGAGGTCCCAAGACCGTGCGTTGACGGACCGTGCGGTGAAGTCTTGGGGGATTTCGAGGTCACCGCACGGTCTGTCACCGCACCGTTTCGGGATTCTGAACTCCAGAGCGTTCCGGAGCGCTCTCAGAGCGTTCCGGAACGCTCTGGAGCGGCCGCGGCGCCCAATACATCCTCCGAACCCGCAGATTCTCAGAGATTTCGAGTTATCCCGATCCGAGTTTGTCCCGATCTTCGCGTCGTTTTAGAGGCGCCGCCAGGGTCAGGTCGGGCGTGTCCCCCTACAGACGGATCGTGTGCGAAAAATTAGTTAACCCAACAAAAAAAACAACAGACAAAAAATCCAAAAATGCATTTAAAGAAGCACAACAATCAAAAAAGAGGAACGCGGGGACCGTCTCTTCAAAACAAGGACCCAAGAACACAGGTTGGTTGGGAAAAATCCAAAAATGCATTTAAAGAAGAACAAAAATCGAAAATACTCAAAAAAACGTTCCCAGACTGTTTTTGAGTATTTTTGCATATTCCTCCTGTAGAGGGACAGGCCCGACTTGACGCCAGGGGGGAGGGGGGGGGCGCCCGGCGCCGATCCGAGGAGTCTGCGCGGAGCTCCGAGCATGTGTGCGCAAGCCAGCTTTGCTCTCCGTCGGGTGCCGTGCTGCACTGGATCCTCACGCAGCGCGCCCTCGTAGGCGGTCTTGATCTTGCGGAGCAGCGAGCCGAAGACCCCGTCGCGCTCGATCACCTCCTCTATAGGCGGCGCGCACGGGGGGGAAGTGAGAAGTGGCGCGCCTTCTCAGAAGGCTCGGAAGTCCCCCGGCCTTCTGAGAAGTGTTCTCGGCCTTCCCCGAAGAGGGACACAGACAGTTCCTAAGAAGGCGCCAGGGCTTCGAAGAAGTCCCGCCGCCTTCTGAGAAGGTCTCATCCATCTTTGGTGTCCGTTCCATGGGAGCCTGCGTGGCCCCTGGCGCTGTCCGATTTGGGCCTGATTTGGACCGGATGTGGAACAAATTTGGACCAGATTTGGACCTGATTTGGAGTGGATTCGCGGGGACAGAACGAGGAGGAAGAGGGGGAACAGGAGGGGAGAGGAGGAGCAGGAGATGGGCCAAGTGCGGTCCCCAGGCGGTCCCCATGCAGGAAAAGCTGATTTCAGTGTCGCCGCCCAAGGCTCCCACGAACGGACATCGAGTCCACCTCACCTCCCCCCCCTCGCTCGCCGCCGATCCTCGAAGAGGTCGCTGTACACGTCGAGGCGCGACGCGGGGTGGCCGCCGTGGTCCGAGTGGTCCGCGTAGGAGTGCCCGAGGCCCGCCGCGTGGTCCGCGTAGGAGTCGTACAGGGGCGCGCGGGGGCGCGGGGGCGCCGCGTGCCTGGGGGGGCTTCACGTTAGGGGCCCTGGGACACACAAAGAAATAGACACAAGTAGCAGGATTCCCCATATTTCCCCATATTTTCTGGGTTCTTGTCTTCCCCCCCACTTCCCATAGATTCCCATATTTTCTAAGGAATCGACGACTAATTGTGTCTGTGTGTTTTTTCCCCCAAGGGGCACCCGCGCCGCTGCTCTTAGGTCGGGCGCGTCCTCCTACAGACGGTTTCTGGACGAAGAATTCAGCAAACAGTCCAAACATACTCAAACATATTCAAGCATAAGAAAAAAACAAAATCGTCCCCAGGCCATGTTTTGACTGTTTTTGAACAGTCCCCCTGTAGAGAGACATGCCCGACTTCACGCTGCTCCCAAGGCCTCTCGCAGGGCGAGTTCTGGCCAGAGCTTCGAGGAGAGTCCAGCCGAAGCGACGAGGGCTCCACGGGACGAGCAGCAGCATCGGTGCCGTTCTTCCCCTCGGGAGGCAGCTCCAGGGAGGCCTTCGTCGGAACGGTGAAGAGCTACAAAGCCCGATTAAGGGGGCACTGAGTCGAAGGGGGCCAGATTGCGCCCGGGGTTAAGCCGGACCAAGCGGGACTCAACCAAACCACACGGGATTAAGCCGGACTGCGCGGGATCAAACCGGATCGAGCGGGATAAAAGTGGATGGAGCGGGACTGGGCCGGATCAAGCGGGATTAAGCCAGATCGGGCGTGACCAAGCGAGACTAGGCCAGGTTCCCACCAGGGATCTACCAGCCCCGGTTTTGAGGTTCTCGGATCTCCGCGTGCCAGCACAAACGAAACCAGTCGCGCGCGGGCTGAGTTCAGCCTCCCAGGAATCCCAGACATGCGAGGTCCTGGTGTTGTCCGTTGGCGGTCCCCGGAACTGCCGACCCCTGACGGCTTCTTCATCGTGAGCCGTTGTGTTGACGGCCCCAGGGCCTGGTAAGGGCCCCCAGAGGCCGCAGACGACGAAGAACCTCGCGTCTGTACTTCCGTCACGGCACGAGCATCTCTTTCCAAGGAGGAGAGGAAAGACAACAGCAGCAAAAAGCGGTGCGAGCACGTCTGGAGCCGAGGGGCAACGGTAGGTGGGGGCCGGAGTAGGGGGGATGCGTCGACCTGGAGTCGGCGATATGTCGGCGACAGGCCCCCGATGGCGAAACCGCACCTTCCTGGGCAAGTCGGGGCTGTCGGGCCCCCATCGGCGATGAATGGAGCATTCGGGGTCGATGCATACGCATCCCCCCCTCACGCCTATCCCCCCCGTCGTTGCCCCTGACGTCCCCCGAGGAGGCCCGACGAGGACGGTGCCGTGCTCCGCAGGCCCCAGCGGCGCCGATCGCAAATAACACCCCATCGTACCCCACACCCTTTGTGCAGCCAACCCGTACTACAAGGACGCACGACAAGGATCGGCAGCGAGCGAGGGGGGGAAAGTAAGAGGGGTGGGCCTTCTCAGAGGGCCCGGAAGTCCCCCGGCCTTCTGAGAAGTCTTCTAAGCCTTCCCCGAAGAGACACCCCTCCGCCTCGTGAGAAGGCCTTCTCCTTCTCATTTCCCCCCCTCGCTCGCCGCACGACAGGGATGCAAGAGGGCCTTGGAAGGCCACGGTCGACGCCTTGAGCGAGCGGGGCGCGCGGCCCGCGAGGAAGCGGCCGAGGAGGGGCCGCAGGGGAGGGCAAGGCAAGGGGTGACCTCTCGGGGAGGCTGCTCATCCTGTACGGTGCGGGCCGACTGCAGCCTCACTCCAGGGGGGGGCCAGCTCACAAGACACCCGAAGCAAGAGACCCAACCCCGAGACTCCAGGGCGTCCACGGACCTCTGGTGTGGGAACGTCGCGCTCTCCATGGCAGGACCATCGAGGCCCAAGAAACCCAGGGCACCCTGGAGGCAAGCAGGGTGTTTCTTGTCATGGGTGTCCACTGTAGATCCTCCACTGAAGGGAAACTGGGACACACAAATAAATACACACAAATAAAAAGATTCCCCATATTTTCCTATATTTTCTGGGTTTTTGTCTTCCCCCCCACTTCCCATATTTTCCCATATTTTCTGGGAATCGACGACTAATTGTGTCTGTGTGTTTTTTCCCCTCCTGATCCACGGAGATGCACCAAGGGGGGGGGGGTGGAGGGGCTGATCGTTCGGATGAGTCCTCGAAGATTCTGAAACGTCCTGGAAAGTTAGAGGCCTCCTAGATAGGGGTCCGAGTAGACGGGGTCGAAGGATCGTGCCACATCGCCAATGCATCGGCGATGCATCGGCGATGCATCGGCGACGTCGGCGATGCATCGGCGACGTCGGTGTGGGGGGAAGCAGGGGCTCCACATCGACTCCGACCCTCCGACCCCATCTACTCTTAGGTCGGGCAGGTCCTCCTACAGGCGGATGTCGGACGAAAAATAAAAAATCAAAAACTGGCGTCTGAGTTTCTGAGAGCGTGGACTTTAGCTCGCTCAAGCTTCGCTCTGCAAGGGGGCCACAGGCCCCCGAAAAGCCCCCAGGAGGCTCTGGAAGGGGGGTGGGGGAGACGCCATTCCCGACGCATGTAGTGCTCGGGAGCGGGGAGGCCCACAGGCCCCCAAGAAGCCCCCAGGAGGCCCCAGAAGGCCTCCGAGAGGCCCCACAACGACCCCCAAGAGGCTTCCCCAGGTCCCTTGCTCAATACACTGAGCCTCAGTCCTCAAGCCTGAGGGTTCCTAATGGGCCCGGACCAGAAGCTCTCAAATCTCTTGAGGCTCCCCGCGCGCCCCCTGGGCCCCCAGAATGTTCCCACATGACTTTCTCGAGCCCAAGAGAGGCCCAAGACGGGCCAACAGGGCCCAGAGAGGCCCTCAAGACGGCCAAAGAAAGCCCCGAATCACCGAACGATCGGTCCAAGACGCCCAAGGTGGTCCCATCGTCATCATCAGCAGCAGCATCATCATCATCATCATCATCATCATCATCATCAGCATCATCATCATCATCATCATCATCATCATCATCATCAGCATCATCATCATCATCATCATCAGCATCAGCATCATCATCATCATCATCATCATCGTCATCAGCATCATCAGCATCATCATCAGCATCATCATCATCAGCAGCATCGTCAGCATCATCATCATCATCATCAGCATCATCATCGTCGTCGTCATCATCATCATCAGCATCATCACCATCAGCATCATCATCAACATCATCGTCACCATCATCATCATCAGCAGCAGCATCATCATCATCATCATCATCATCATCCTCATCACCGTCACCATCACCATCACCATCATCATCAGCATCATCATCATGAAAATAACCAGCATCATCAGCATCATCATCAGCATCATCATCAGCAGCAGCATCAGCATCATCAGCATCATCATCAGCAGCATCATTATCATTATCAGTACCAGTATCATCATCAGCATCAGCATCAGCATCAGCATCAGCGTCAGAATCATCAGCAGCAGCATCAGCATCAGCATCAGCATCAGCATCATCAGCATCATCAGGATCATCATCATCATCAGCATCAGCATCAGCATCATCATCATCATCATCATCATCATCACCATCATCATCGTCACCATCACCATCATCACCATCATTATCCGGAGCGCCCCGGATCGGCGGCACTGGCTGGAGGCCAGCACAATAATAAGTTCAAAACAAACGGCCGAAAAATCAAACATCGGCTCAAATGGTCGAATGGTCGGTAAATAGTGATACCAAACGCGAAAACTCGCCGCTGGCTATATAATTGTTGTTACTACTTTTGAGATTTCCTTCTGTAGATGGACATGCCCGACTGCAGCCTAGAAAATCACACCAGAGGAAAACCCTAATCAGTGGATGGTTTTCGCCGACGAGAACGACCGGGAACCCGGAAGCCCGGGAACCTAACCTAGAACCTACCGAAATCGGCCCGGAACCAATCACCAGGAACCCTGGGACCTTGGACCGGGAACCCTGGAACCCGGGAACCCAGCCTGCTGCCAAGATCGGCGGGAACTTTCGCCAAATCTTCCAACTTCCGCTAGGACCACTTCCGTGCAAGCACTGATGGGGGAGATACGGAAGGATCCTGGATGCTTATGGCAGCTCCCTGGGCGCGCGCGCGGAGGAGGAGGAGGAGGAGGAGGCGGAGGCGGAGGCGGAGGCGGAGGCGGAGGCGGAGGCGGAGGAGGCGGAGGCGGAGGAGGAGGAGGAGGAGGCGGAGGAGGAGGAACTGATTGGGGAAAGACGGAAGGATCCTGGATGCTTACGGCAGCTCCCTGGGCGCGCGCGCGCGCGCCCGGGGTGGCGCGGGCCGCCCGCCGTCCGGACGCGGCGGCGGCGAGGACGGCGACGGCGACGGCGACGGCGACGACGGCCACGACGGCGGTGACGACGGCGACGACGGCGACGGCGGCGACGACGACGACGACGACGCCGACGGACGACGGCGGCGGCGGCGACTGAGTCGCCGAGCCTGCGACTGCAGCGGAGGCCAGTCCACAAGGAGCCTTCCACGAGAAACCCAACCCTGAGACCCCAGGACGCCCATCGATTTGCTGGTGTGGGAACGTCGCGCTCTCCATGGCACAAAAAAACTCGAAACCCAAGAAATCGAGGGCACCCTGGAGGCAAGCAAGGTGTTTCTTGGCATGGGCCTCAACTGTAATTGAAACAACTGCATTCGTAACCATAAACTGTTGCTGCTCCGCGCGGATTTCTTGGATCCGCGCTGGACCCCCCACCCTGGCGCGCGGAACGCGCCAGGGGCGGCGCCGGAGGCGCCGCCGGGGGTGCCCAGCGTCCAAGAGATCTGCGCGGAGCGCCAGAAGTTTATGCTTATGGAGTTTGTTCCTCTTCGATGTAAGTCGCCGAGTCTGGGGCTTCGCCTCCTCCTCCTCCTCCTTCTCCTCCTCCTCCTTCTCCTCCTCCCTCCTCCTCCTCCTCCTCCTCCTCCACCTCCTCCTCCTCATCCACCTCCTCCTCCTCCTCCTCCGCCTCCTCCTCATCCACCCC